AAAAATGCAATACTAAAGGTATTTCAATTGGATATTTCCATTGCATTTTTATTTTCTGTTTGTTTCTAAGTGAATTTCATAATAATGATAATTTATTGCATTTTTCTAGCGACCCAAGACCGGAGATGCTTTATGCAAAGAATGTTTTTACACCGCATTCGAAAATGAAATTCATTGTACAATTCAACAAGCAAATCTATTCAAAAACGGGGATCGTGTTGCGGTCGCAGCAAGTGGTGGAAAGGATTCAACCGTATTAGCGTATGTTTTGAAATTGTTAAATGAACGACACAATTATGGACTTAAACTAATTCTTCTATCGATTGACGAAGGAATTACAGGTTTGTGACACACAACAAAGTTCAAATGTGCTCGTATTTTTTGAAATAAAAATAATTTTTTTTTTGCAAATTTCCAGGATACCGCGATGACAGTTTGGAAACAGTTAAACAAAATCGTGACGATTACGAAATGGAATTGAGAATTCTGTCATATGAAGAGTTGTACGGTTGGACGATGGATCGAATAGTCGGTGAGATCGGCAAAACAAATAATTGTACATTCTGTGGTGTATTTCGTCGTCAAGCGTTAGACCGGGGTGCAAAAATGTTAAATGTAAATTGTATAGCGACGGGTCATAATGCTGATGACATTGCCGAAACTGTAATTATGAACATTTTGCGAGGTGATACCGCCCGATTGTCACGATGTACAAACATCAAAACGGTATGAATGACCAATGACTATGTGTAAAATGTGCACAACTAATGCGAGACTTTGAACATTTTTTTTTTCAGATTGACGAAGACGATGAAGCGATTGCCCGTGTCAAACCGCTGAAGTATACATACGAAAAAGAGATTGTAATGTATGCACATTTCAAAAAATTGGTCTATTTTTCAACGGAATGCATATTTGCGCCGAACGCATATCGTGGTCATGCCCGTGCATTTTTAAAGGATTTGGAAAAAGTGCGACCGTCTGTGATAATGGATATAATTCATTCCGGTGAACAAATCAAATTTAAATCAACGGTTAAAAAACCGGTGCGTGGCATTTGCAATCGATGCGGTTTTGTTTCGTCACAGCAACCGTGCAAAGCGTGTGTTTTACTCGAAGGTTTGAATCGTGGCCTACCAAAATTAGGAATTGGTAAACGTTCACGTGCCGATCGAATGATTGCAGAACAAGAACGAGATTTGGCGCAGGCCTTTCGTGAGAAAGCCCATCTCGTCAAAAATGATTTTTAGTGTTGAATTCATTGTGGTTTCGGTTTGAAATTTATAAATAAATTATTTGAAATCAGAGATCAGCATGTTTTTTTTTTATTTTTGGTCATGAGATCAAAGTGCAAGTGACAATATTTAAGATTAAAATAGCAAAACTATAGCTCAATGCAAACTATAGCTTCATGGCATTCTATGCAGAAGGAAACGTATCAACTGTACCAAGCACAGCTTATATGTAGTCATCATCAATCTCAAATGAATTCAAAAGCATGCAATAAGAGTAAGAACCACGAAGAATCTATGTGTAAAAAATGAATTTCGAAATTAAACAAAATGATTTGATATTTGATTATTCAAATAAATTGTGCATCACCGTAATGAATGTAATAAAATCAATCCGAAACAAAGCTCCAGCATGATATCGAATTGGTTTTTGTGCGCGACGTATAATATGTAATGTGGCTATTTTAAATTTCATATTCATTTTATACCAATCACAAAAGTACATCGCTTCGGCTACATCAGGTGACTGTGACGGCAGAGAGAGAAAAAAAAAACCCGAATCAGGTGACAGGTTTTGTATAAATTAAAAACGCCAATCGAATTGCGAAACAAACCTCTGCAAACACTTTGTTTCCAGCCCAACACCAATAGCCCAGCTGTACGAATGCCGCAATCATTTCGGTTGAGTATTTGACAAATATCGTGATATCCTTTGTAACTGATGTTGTGGCTATGAATGCGGTCAGGCAAATGATTAACGTACTACTCATGAGTTGCACAATGAACATTGGCCGGTGCATTGAGTTCAGCTGCTCGGTTAATCTAAAACCAATTTTATAATATTCACAATATATCTTTGCATTTTTGATTTAAATCATATGTAAATGGTAAAACCGGTAAAAATATATATTTATATTTTATACTCATATATATCTTGATGTTCTTTGACGCATGCTATTAATTGGTCGTATTCGATGGCTGTGTTTGGTTTGTTTACACCTTGTTTTTTGTCACCGTCGGAAATACGTCGCAATTGCGAGAATTTATGGGCAACAACTTTCACATGTAGCATACTCTCATTTAACGTACACACACCGATATTGTCGACAAATGTAATGCCTTGAATGAGATATACAAAGATGATGGTCTGAAACACATAGGCACCCATGAATTTAAATGAAGTTGTGTCGCTTATGTCAAATGGAAATCTTGCACGATGTGGCATAAATATCTTTGATGCAAACAATGGCTAATTGAAAATGAAAAAAAAAAAATATTTTTTCTGCGGAAATGTTCTTTTTTTCGTTTGCAATTGAATATTCATACTGATTTCAGTTGTCAAACAAACATTTTGAAACGGATTCTACCTGAATGGGAAACGAGAAAGCCAACATTATGCCATTGAAATAGTTGAGTAAAAATAAAATCGTTTCCTGATAATACCACAATCTTTGCATTTTTCGAATGCGTTGATCTGTACTGTGGCCCAATTTTAAAAATCGATCTTCCAATATTTTAAGCATCGCACCGATTTTCCGTTGATTATAATAGAAATAAAATATTTTTGTTGTCACCATATAAACCTAATTGAATTTAAACAGCAACAAAAACGATATATTTCTTCAGAATAAAAAAATAAGTTTAGTTAGAAAAGCTAATCGAAAATGCTACCCCAATTAAAATGCTCAGATCTTCTCCAATTGCAAGTATTTGAGAGTAGGTTTCCGGATTCGACAAGTCCATTGTTGTCGTCACCACGAAAAATATGATCGATACAACAATTATGAAACTGTATATATAAAAATACCACTTGGAATTCGATTTCGAGCCATCCAACGGTGCATTCCACAAGCCTAACCAACTGGACATTCAAAAAAAAATGTTTATTCATTTTATATCAGTGATGGTTTTTTCCTATCTGAATAGCGCTAGCTATTCGCAGCGTCTGAACAGCATTGCTGCCCAGATGCTGAATCGAAGCGGTTGCCGCACGCGTTTTGTACCACACAACATATTGTCATATAGTCTAAGTAACCAGTGAGCTCACAGAGTATGATACACTAATACCATAGTCAGTATACAAACGCATGTCGAACAGAGAACGAACGCGAACGTATATGCTCTGTGTGGTACAAACGAAGTGTGTTGCG